ATTAGGATAATTATCGAGTTTTAACAAAATAATTAATTATTATCTTTATAAGAAAATTATATTATTAAACCAAATATAAATTACTTCGTTATTGAACCTAAATTAAATTACAATAAAAAAATCGAATTAAAAATTACACAAAAATAGAAATTTTAAATAGTTAATTTGATGTTAATATCGATTTATTTTTGTCAAATTTTTATGAAATCTTCAAATTTATATTTTATTAAAAAATAAAAACATTATCGCCTTTTCAAAATCACATAAGATCATATTATAACATCAATTGAGATAAAGAATAAAATGAAATATTAAAATCTAGATGTATCTCGCTGCATTGCGCGAGTACCCTTCTAGTATTATATATATATATATTTTAATTTTTTTTTACCTTCTTATCTGTATTAGTTATATAATATATTATTCGAGATTCATTTCAATTAAATTTTAAAATATTGTAATCGATTAATTTCTCAGGATACATTTTTTTGACTATTTTTCATTCTTATCAACTAGTTTTGTCAAACATAAATTATTTATCAGTTAGTTTATTAGTTACCAGCTAGCTTATAAACTAACATTTAGTTTATCAGTCAGCAACTAGTTTATCAGTTAATTTGTCAATCAATAACTTAGGAGTATATTAATTGAATTCTTAGGTTATGTTTGACAAATTAGCTGATAAACTAACTTGGATGGAACTTTTTAAGGCACACTTTAATGGAATTTATGGCCTAAAGGCTATTTCGTTAGTTAACTTTTCTTCGATGCAATCTTGTACGGAAATATTTCGTTTTTCTAAATCAAATTTTGACTAAATCATCTAAAATAGATTCAAGTTATTTACATAGAGGGTAAGATACAACCAGGCCAAAAGAAGAAAGTTTGATTGATCCATTACCACGGTTCCTAAACCCGATTCAAAATTTGTTAGCAAAATACAAAGACTAATTAACCCGTGGATTATATTGTTCTTGTTAATAGTAATCCACCGGAGTTGCAGCACAACCACCACGATCTGGTGGCACCTCATGGTGGCTAAATGGTGGTGGGACGAAGGGTGGCGTTGTACATCTCAAGAGTGCCCAATTGACCCCATGGAAAAACGGATGATGCTTGATTGCGGATGCACCCATCATGGACCCCATTCGCTGCCCCGGGTCCTTAACCAACAATTGAGAGATCAGGTCTCTAGCCATGGGTGGAATCAAGGGCTCTTTTGGGAACTCCAGAGCCCGAGCCACAATATTGGCTAGAGTCAGCTCATTATCCATCCCCTTAAACGGCGTAACACCATAAAACAGTTCGAACAAAAATATTCCTAGGGTCCACCAATCAACGGCACTTCCATGGCCCTCCCCAGATACAATCTCAGGGGCTAGATATTCATGGGTCCCAACAAACGACATTGAGCGGATATCGACGGGCTCAGCCACGAACTCGGGTGCGCCATGGTTGGCTGGTTTGTTCTTGCGTTTACGGATAGGGTGGAAGCAAGAGACCGCAGGGACAATGCAGCTGGGAAGAATGCAGGTGGATTTGGGTGGATGGAGGGGGCGGTAAACTGGGTTAACCTGGGCCGGAGTTGATGTGGAGAGGTGACATTTTAAGGAGAGGTCGAAATCAGTGAGCATGATGTGGCCGTCGGATCGAACCAAAACGTTTTCCGGTTTGAGATCGCGGTAAACGATTGCCAACATGTGGAGGTACTCGAGGGCTACAACCACCTCCGATGCATAGAACCTGTAGATAACATGCACGTTTTTATCCAGTGTGAAAAAAAGGGCCCATATGAATTTAAGTGAGAAAGATAATGATGTGTATGTTTGGTAGGGAACCAAAGGAAAAAACATAACTTCAATGAACCACATGTCTCACACCTAACATCATTTTAATTCCATTATCATTTATCATTTTGGAAAATAGAGGTGTTTTTATCTCCAACCTAACATTGAAAATATAAATATAAAAAAAATATATGAAAATAAAAGTGTTTTCATCTTCGACCCAATACTAAAATACCGGGGAAAAAAGGATTCAAAAGTAAATAAACATGGGAGGTCGTCTCTAAGAACTAGAGACAAAAACATGTACCCTCACAGGGTGGAACACGTGTAGGACCCAACGAAGTTTAGTTTTATTCATTTATCCACATCTATGGAATCCCAGTTTTTAACTTTTAAATTTTGTACTTTTTTTCAGATATAAATTCGATTTTTTGTATATATGTATGCGTCTTCTTTTGTAGTAAAACAAAGAGTAAATTACCTTTTTAGTCTCTTTGGTAAAGCTTGTTGAAAATTCCCCTTTTTGATGATTTTAAATTTACGATTTTTATTGTTGTGTTTAATAATTCTTTACTTTTTTTCATTTTAATGGTTTATAATTCATTATCTTTTTTCACCCTAATGATTTAAAGTTTATTGTTTTTTTCGTTCCTATAGTCATTCATACTTAAAAAAAATGAATTACAAACCCAAAAAAGGAAAAATTAAAATTTCAAAATCATAACGAAATCCACAATTTCACCAAACCACAACAAAAAAAAGTAATTTACCATAAGACAAATTGTCATTTTCTAATATATTTTATAGGGAAATTGACAATAGTTATTAATCTCATCTACCAAATCCACTTTTTAACTACTTTTCAGCCTCTTTCTAACGAGGTGTTTAAGATCATTTATAAAAAAACAACTTATTATTGACTTATTCCAATATGACACCGGTAATAAATAATTTTGAATATTTGGATAAACAACTTATATCGGTGATAAAATTTTTTTGAAAAAGCTAAAACATTTTAACTTATAATAAGTTGATAAACACTTTTATAAAAAAATATAAATTGTTTCAAATAAGCAATCTCAAACACCCCTAAAATAATCAAAGTTTACTTAGAAATTTAATTTGTTGAAAAAAAAAATGCAGAAATTTGAATTTTTACATAGAAAGTGGAAAATTAACATAAAAAGGAGTTTATGTGTAAAGTTGGTTTTTTACTTTTATTTTTGCTGAAATCAATCCTTAAGAATAATGTGTTAGCATTTTACGTAAACTATAGCTATTTGGAAAATGAATTCATGATACGGTTAAAAAGTGAATTGACTTTCATGAATCTGCTATTTTTGTCAATTAACAGTCGATTCTTTAACCAAATTCACTTTTTAGTCAATTTTGAAATCGAATTCTAATTTTAACAAGAGTTATATAAACGTCTTACAAATTAACGTAAAAATTTTCAGATTGATTTTCTTTACGTAAATGGAGATACTTACAAAATAGGGATCCTTACCCAAATTTGTGTAAATAATTTTTTTAAGTCTGAAAATCGAGTTTATCTATACTACCTTATAAATCAGATTTATCAAAAGTCTTAAAAACAATTTTTAATGTACAAAGTACTATATATTTATGCAAAGAGCCTTCATAATGCATTAAGTACTACTACTTTATTAAGTACTACTACTTTATGCATTCAGTCTTAAAATCTCTTAATCTACAATTAAAATAATATATAGTGCAAGTTACCGATGTACATTATTATATTTTCTTTCATGTTTCCAAGATACTTTTCACTCATGTTTTCACCCTCTCGTACCTCTATGTCTTCTCCTCATCCCCAATGTGAGATTCAAACTGATATTCACTTATGAGTTATTAAATGTTTTCTCATTCCTCTAGAACTCTCGCTTTCGATCTCTTGATTCTTTGCTCTTGGTGTAAATCGAACATATTTGTGGAGTCTTTAAATATATTAATTTTAAACTGTCATACAAATTTTTTCTATCGATAGACTGTAATTGAAACCATAACTTTTATTTATTCAAATTGTATTAATATGTAAAGACTTTAACTTATATCATCGTTAAATCTTCTCTAATAAAACCAGTAAAACTTCAAAATCATTAAAACTTACGGCTGCCGCCATATTACATAGATATACACCTAGTATACTAAAAAATGAATTTGGTCGGAAGGTCGCCTACAATTTCCCATTTTTTGGTTTTAAATTTTCATTATTTTTGTCATTATCAATTTATGAAAATATATTAGTTAAAATGATATGATATGATGCGACATGCGAGGCAGGGGATAATTACTGATGTACAATTGTGCATATGAAAAGACATGCAGTTTGTGCGCACCTCACGGCGGACTCCGGGAACCGTTTGCATGGTTGCCGTTGCCGGAGAACGTGGAGGTCACCGCCGGGACAGAACTCCGTCAATAGACACGACCATTTCGGTGACTCCAACGACGCGTACAGCGTCGGCAAAAATGGATGCTCCAACATCTCCAGAATTTCCCTTTCCGTCCTCGCTCGCCCTTCCTTATTACGGCTCGCAAGCTCCCTCTTATCCATCACCTTAGCGGCGAAAACAGCACTTCCGACGGCCGTGGATGACGGAGAAGGAGAACACTTGAGTTTAGCGAGGTATACAGAGCCGATGTCTCCGGCGCCTAGACGGTGGAGGAAACGGATATCAGTGAGGGAAAGGTTACCGCCTGATTCAGATCTACAACGATGAACGGCGTCCCAGCAGGGATCTCCGGAAGGAGCATGGGGTTCGGTAGCGGCGGAGGGGAGTGGGAGGTTGTGGCGAGCGGAGGAGGTAGCGGTGGTCCATGTGGTTTCGGATCCCGAGCTGGTACGACGGTTAATATCGTTGGTGGTGGTGGTGGTGGTGGTTGTTGTTGTTGAGTTGAAGCTGATGCTTAAGAGGTCGTCTGCTAGATCGTCTAGCCATGGTGGTTCCATTGTCGAAGTGAAGAAGATGAGCACATGTCTGAAGAATTGCCTTTTTGAAGTGGGAAAGAGAACCAGGCCCATTAGTATGGGGCCCATTAAGCCTTTGGAGTTTTCATGGCCTTTTTGGTCTTATTTCCTTTTTGTTTTATAAAAATACTTGTTATTTCTTTATATAAATTTAAGAAAAAATCATGAGAATTAGTTAAAAATAGTCATATTCAAATATTGAATTTATTTCTTAATCATTTCTCTGTTAATATTTTAAAATTGTCATTAGGTCTATGAATGGTATCTCTTTAATTTGTGGAGATGTCAAAATGTAAAAAAAAAAAAAAAACTGTACCAGATCCATAAATACAGGGACCAAATCTGTAAATTAGTCTCTTAATCTAATTTACGTATTTGAACCCTACATTTGTAGGCATGGTTTAGAAACATTTTTTTTACATTTTAAACCTCCGTAAATTATGGAGATGTCATTTGCAGACCTAGTGATATTTCTGAAATTTGGATATAGAAATGGTTAAGAGGTTAATCCAAAGCTCGAAAATGATTAATTCTGTTAATTTCCTAAAAATCATTTGCAATATTTTTTAATAAATTTTTATATTTTTGTTTCCAAAAGATTTCAAGTTTTTATAAGAAAAAGTTATTTTATAAGGTCTTTCTGTTCAAATGCAGATGTTCAAATGCAATTAATCTGCATTTTCACATACATGTCGATTTCACTCAACCTCTCTCACAATCTGACAAGGAGTTAAGTCAAAACTTGATTGTGAGATAAAATCGTTTTGGAGAAACAAGAAGAGTACTCGTGCAATGCAACGAGACATATCTCGATTTTAATGTTCTATTTTATTATTTGTTTCTGTCGATGTTATAATACGGTTTTATGTGTTTTTAAGAAATCAATAATGATTTTATTTTTAAATAAAATATAGAACAAATTGCATGAAAAAAATAACGTACTTTAAATTGATTCATGTTTTGGGTAATGTACTTTCAAAACTTTTATTTTGGTATCTAACATGTAAAATTTTAAACATTTAAGTACCCGGATAAACGGTTGAATCATTAACCAGTTATCATGTTGATGTGTCGATTGATATGGTATCCAACTCAATATTATTTGCTAACATGGTTAGTGACATGATTTTTTTTTTAATTCTGAAATTACTCTTTTTTAATCTAAAATTAGTCTTCAATTGGTTACTCGGGTACTTAAATATTTAAAATTTTACATCTTAGGTACCAAAATAGAAGTTTTAAAGTACGTTACCCAAAATAGGAATCAAGTTAAAGTACGTTACTTTTTCATGCAATTTGTCCTAAAATATAAATTTGAAAATATCATAAAAATTTGAAAAAAAAAATATCAATATTATTATCAAATCAACTATTTAAAAAGTTCTCATTTTTTATGTAATATATTTAATTTTTTTTATTATAATTTAATTTAAGTTTAATAATGAAATAATTTATTTTTGGTTTAATAATATAAATTTTATAAAGATAATAATTAAGTATTATATTATAACTTCATGAGTATCCTAATTATATTTTAGATTTTTTATATTTAAATGAGATGTTTATCATGTATTTGATTATGTTTATATAGGGTTAGTTATACAAATTCAGATATGGAGCTTTAATAAGTTATACTTACGTATAATTTACTTGCAATATTGAGTTTTAAGTAATATGCATTAATAAACAGTAGTTTACGCATAAAAAATGTTTTTTAAGAGTTTTTGTCAAATATTTTATAATATAGTATAGATAATATAGTTTTTTAAAAACATTAATTTATCGAAAGACATCTATATTTAGATCTCTGGTTATTGATATTTACTTTAATATACTTGATAATATAAAAATAAATGAAAAACTTAAAATTCAAATGATTTATGAAAACTAATAAACTTTTTTAAAATAGATTTATTAAAAAAAAATGGAGCATTAAACCAATGATAGGGAGTGGGAGTGGGTTTTTTAATAAAGAAAAAGCCAAATTCGTACAATATTTCATTTTAAGTAGAACAATTATTGAGCAAAGCAATAGATGCTACAGATAAAGTGGGGGTGTACATGGTGACCCTGAAGGGATGTTAAAGCTGATAACCACTTTCCAATTTTTACAAATTTTTTGGAACATATATTATTTGAATTGTTATTTTTTATGATTGGTGTGAAATTTGGTATAAATAATAAATCTACATCAACGACTAACATTAAATCTTATATAAAAATGTCAGTTTCGTAGGATTTCAAGTATGTTTCTTTTTTATCTTGTTTCATTGGTATAAATGAACACTGATACACCAAATTTGATGTGTTACTGTTCATTACACCAATTTTCGTGTCCATGTTGGAGTGATTTTTTATCTCAAATTTGGTGTTTGGTATAAATTTTGGTGTTTTTATTAGAGAAGATAACGTATAATCAAATCAACAAAACAATATAAGGGGTCGTTTACCCATATACTTACCTTATAAACATTTTATGGAAAAATTCAACACTTTTATTTATTTTATCAAGTAAGATTTTAGTCAATTAAAATGACATTACATGCAACAATTTTACCCCTTAAGTGTGAATAAGGTAAGAATCGTCGCCCTTGCTTTACCGGGTAAGGCTCTTGGTTATTGTTCTTACAAGGTAAGATTTTCGATCTTTACCATGTTCATCCGATAAAATAATGTGGTTTGGTAATCGATAACCGCGTAAACAAAAGGCCCTAGATTTTTTTAACAAATAGATGGAAATTTGGGTTCAAGCCCTTGGGTTCATCACCTCTCGTTTTGGGATTTTACATTCGAATATGTAACTTATTCAGTTAAAAATCAAATATTATAGTGGAATATGTATAGGTATGTGTATCTCTATCTATATATATGTATATATATATATATATATATATATATATATATATATATTATATTTACAGTGTTTTGTTGTGAAATTTCAAATGTAAAAAAATAGTCTCATATGTCTCACGAAAAGAGGTTGGTCTCACGTGATGCTAATGATGTATGTATATATATATATATATATATATATATATATAATATGATATGTGTTTGTGGGCCATGAAAGTGGAAGCTGCAGAAGGTACTTGTACCTTGTTTTATGCATGATGGATGATGACCCATCACTTACACCTCCAATCTTCATTTATTTCTTTGTATGAAATGGATATACAACTTGTACTCTTGTATACTTTTTGGCCTTGCATTGAATATTTCTCTACTTCAAAAATTCCCTATAATACCCTTTTTCATATAATAACTTTATACCTTATGATCTTTATAACATTTGATAACACATTATACCAAAATTATTCAACATTAATTAGTACAATACAACCTTATTTATATTGTTTCATCCAAAACACCCATCAATCATGTATTTTCTAGAAATCAAAACACATCCTGCATTTATCATTCAAAAACGCGTTACACGAAATGAAATAAAATATATACAGACCTGTCATCTATTTCAAAGATATAAAAAGCAAACTTCACTTTTTAGTATCATTGTATACAATGCTCAAAATAACTCCTTTCATCAATCTTCATCATATGCCAAAAGCATACTTGAGGATATTGGTGAGACAGAGAACCAATGTGGATTTTAACTCCAGTTAATAGAAGTTCAGATTATGAAGCTCTGTTTCAGACCTTTTCGTGATCGTTTTTTCTTCGGATTGGTACTAAGCATGCAAGAGAACGCATTAACGAGCTCCGTATCCTCAACATTCACTAGAATCTTGGCAGCTTCTGGATTGGCAAGTAGTTGTTTCGCAACAACATATCCTGCAATCGACCACGTTTGAAAGAGGCGTGCTTGTTTCCCGATGAATCTTCCTCTCTTGGTATCGTAATATTCAGGCCACTTGTCTCTTGCTAAGCGTATCTCAGCAACTTTTACCGCGTTTTCAGCAATTTCAGGCCTATTCATCTTTATACTGGCCACAGTCAGCTGAATAAAACGCAAAGAGAAGAGTTAACAATGCATATAAGAGGCAAGCAATGAACTCATATGCCAAAATCTGAATGAAAAGAAGCAAAACATCAGGAACTACTTCCATCGCCTCATAAACATTGCAACTTTTTTCTTTTTTGAACTATTACCATTTTAAAATTATATCTGCATTCATTTTTCTTTTTATCGAAGAATATTTTGAATATATAATAAATCGTCGGATGCAAAGGAGTATAAGTTTAACATGAAACTGACCTGCCAAAGTAGAGTTGGCCACGAACCTCCATTGTGGTAAGACCAAGGCCTACATAATAAAACCAATGTCATGCCAATGTATGCCGGTTTTTAAGATCAATGAAATCATGACTAATACCAAGTTAAATGCAATTTACGTGTTTTTGGGATCGCTTCCTGTAATAATTCGCCATTCTTGGCCTTCAAGAGCAGGATAACAGATCTTCAATGGCATATCACCAACAAGGTCTGCCCATTTGGCTTCATAAAGATCCAATATGGCATGCGATTGATCGGCTGTTGCGAGACTGCTTACAATAGACCATAGGTTTCCAAGAGAAAAGAAACGGAAGTCCATATGCGCTGGCTGCAAATTTCCGATCATATAACCTCCTTTATTGGGCATCCATTCTACTAACCATGGAGGTATTTGATCTGGGTATATGTTGAATTTATTAACTGCATCGTAAGAATATTCCTCCGTCTTGTAACGGTAGATTTCATTCAGCTTTCTCATATCAATCCAATAATACTCTCTGACATGAAATGATAATGCAACAAGACGATTATTGAGTGCTGTAATAAGGTCGGCTGATGCATCTTCACGGGTAAGCATCTCCCTTGCAGAAAGCAAGGCAGAGTAGAATAACGCCTGAATGAAAAATGACAATCAGCTTTGAAGAGTGGATTTCATTAAAAACAAGGCCTTACCAGCTTGACCTAATAGGGCGGGCGCACCTTTCCAACCCGAAAGCTTCTTGGATGTTAACACAAAAACTTGGGTCGTTTATCAACACAAATTGGGTAAGCGCTTACCCAAGGTAAGCGTGCAGTCTGGGTCAACACTAATCACAGACCGAGTAATCCCCTCCCTTAGCTTACCAGATCAGTATTATGGACCAGTGAGAGGGTCTTAGTAAACAACATCATTTCTGACACGATAAGAGGCAGTAAACAGCCTGTTATTGTTGTTTAGACTATCAAAGAGAAAATGAGTACCTGAATTTCCAAGGGATGTCCATGAATTCCCATTCGTCGATCTATCATGCACGAACCATCGGTCACCAGTAGAGTTGGAAACATGTCAAAACCATCAGCCAGACACAGCTTCAGAATCATCTTAATTCCAGTTTGCACATCAATCCTTTCTTGAACAGAAAGGTCCCCAGTAGATTTCCCATATGCCCTCAACAATATGATCCACCACAATCCTGAAATAAACATTGTCCAAGGTCAACCAACCCAAAAGTGGCTACTACGGTTGTTCGCTATGACAAAAGCTAAACTTACTCACCAGAGTCAACTGGTGCAACGCGGCCAATGGCTGCCTCACCAAAGTCGGGATCCAGTATATCTTCAGTTGCAGAATCATCACCGTCAAGCGGAACAGTGCGCACTTTGAAGCTTGCAGGCATCAACCCTTGGCCAGGACTATGGCAATCCATGGTTTTCTCCCAACTCTATTTGCAATCATTCGTGCTTTAGTCAAGGCCTCAATGGAACAAGATATAAACTAAATAGAAGTTTGATCAACAAGGATATGTGAGAGCTTCGAATATGTGGAATTGGAACCAATTAGATTACTTTGGTAGACCTAGGCTTTGATACCAAAAGAGTTCCAACATATATTGAGGGGATATGGTCCAACCTAGCCGATGTGGGACTCTTAACAGTTCATAAGCTCACACGGTAAGTGCGCCTCTATTGATTTATGCTTTCACCTTGTAGTTTGTACAATTTTCGCTTATGCAGTATAGATTTTGTGGGATACCTCAAAAACTATTTTCCCACGTATATAGATGCGCATTCATATAAGCAAGAGAAAAGTTGTAGGACAGAGATCCATACAGTATGTATCAACTAATACTGTTGAGTGGTGGAGCAAAAAGATGTCATGTAGACACATGGTTCATTAGATTAAGAGTAGCAAATGAATCACCTGCAGTTGTAGGGTATGTAAGATGAAGTTCCGCACGATATCATATTCTCCTTTCAAAAGGAAAGCTATCCCAGACGGTATGAAATCACGTATGAAGACTTGATCATAGTTGAGAATGTTAGAGTCACTTGGATCATTAGCTGCAATAGTTCCAACTGGATTACCACAATAATTAACCATTGATGCTCGTAATAAGTCCCATGCTTCCTCCTCTACAGAACTTATGCTAGCAATTGGCAATGTACTGCTAAATCCTCCATTTCCGTTGGTAGCCAAATCACCATTAAGAAGAACATCTCTCTTTTCATTTTCTAAAACTGAAGCATTTTCCACTCCATTGATCCTCCTGTTTAAGTCTTCATTAACCAAATCGGTGACACTGTCAGTTTGTCGGCATTTACAATTCAAAGACCTAAAACAATTATTAAGATTTGATCCACAGAGAACTCCATCTACGATATGAAACGCACAGATCCTCCTGTGATTTTGATGACTTGAGCTTTTGATTTGGGTGCACCCAGACCCATTTTCACTTCTATAACTCGAACCATATTTAGACAAAACCAAGAAATTTGACTTGTTGAAGCATAAACCCATATGAGATATTCTCGGCCCTGCACTACATAAAACTTGACAAACAGCTTCTGAAGTAGCAGCCATTGAGTTAAGGTAAACTGAATCTGGATGATGTTGTCAATTCAATCTATTGCCTACACAAACCACAAGATTCAAACGATTAATCTCATAGTCATGGTTCACAAGATTCACCTATTTTGTGCTTAGTGAATGACATTCAAGACACTTGACTAAGTAAAACTCTTGCTATAAACTATATACCAAATCGTAAGTAGCAATTATTATGCAATAAAATGAGTATGCATATAACTTTCCAAGATTTCCTCCAAATTCTGAAAAACTCATACTCCCACCAGTCCACAAAAGAGATACATCCAGAGTATCTACAGTAACAACAAATCTTTTTTCTCCATGACATCTTTTTTGGGTCAATAGGAGTGTTCAATATCAAAGTTCAATGGTGGTGAATGACCACAAGTATCAAAGTTCAATGGTGATGAATGACCACAATAACAACAAATCTTTCTGATTGCGTGGTCACGGAGCAAGATTAGCGAGGCCCAAATCATCACATATGTGTGTGTTTAACATGATTCTCATTCAGCGAGATTTGGGGTCATGATCTTGGATATTTTGATATTTTCTGGTGAAATCATCATGTTGCTAGAACAGAAAATCACAAAATTTTCAACCTAGGATTCTTGGTCTTAACAGAAACATGGTTCGCATATCTATTAACAAAAAAAGAAAAACAGAAGCACGAATGAACAAAATCAACCTGCAGTATTCGTAAATGAAACAAACAAACTCATAATTGGGAAGAAGAAGATGATCTAGGTCAAATACTAAATCAGGAATACAAACAAGAGCTGAAGAAACTACTCACATAACCATTAGTCTGTTGATATTGGATAGGTTGAGTAACTTCAGGAAGAATCTAGAGCTGCAAATTTCTCGTGATGTTCCAGAATCAGGATGAGCAGGGATGATCGATTTTCCGCAGATTTATTTGAAACGAAAACAAGGGTAGAATCGCCATGTAAAAAAATTGAGCTAGATGTGGTGAAGCCGGCGCTTGAAACTGCGCTGGGGGTTTTGAAGCCACGTACGTAGATAAACTTTTACAGATTTACATGTATTGCCCTTGAACTAATTGATTTTTGGCAATTTGTTACCTCTTTAAAATGGAAATAACATTGTTGCCCCCTAATTAGGCTTCCTACTCAAGAGAGTGAAGATTATTCAAGTCCCGTCTTCTCATTTTCCCCAATTTTCTTTTGGTTTCTTTTATTTGTCAACTGAAATTATCATAAAAAAATGTAAAGGACATTTTAAGGGCATATTTTTTAGCAGGTTAATGAGACTAATAAGACACAACTTTTTCGGTCAGCTATACATGATTATTCAAGATACGAGCTTATCAAATAATAATAATAAACTAAGATTTTTAAAAACCTTAATCAGAGTATATTTCAAATAATCTTGTACGATGATTTCAAGTTAAAATTATAGTGAAACAAACATAATGAGAAGCATGCATTTTCACTACATTTTATCATAAAAATATAGAAACATTTAGTCAGACTGGTAGCTTTATCATAACAACTATGGTGGAACAAATAACTGACTATAGTTAAGAAGAGTTTCGTTAATAAAAAGATAAGTAAGAAAATATTAACGAAGCATGCAGATTTGGTTAAGCCCGTTACGGGATGTTAAGTTTTACAACATTAGTTCGGGACATCAGAAAATTAATCGGCGGCTCTTAATGTTACTTTTAATCCATTTCGATCCTTCTCCTACCCACTTCTTTTTTCTTTTGTTACGTTAGTTGAAGGACAACAATATGATTTCAATTTGGAAGAGGTAGCAAAAGTCACAAATCAATTAGTTCAAGGGTAGTTCATGCAAAATCGTAATAGTATATCAATTAATATACATGGCCTCAAAACGCCCGACATCTTTTCTAGCTTAACCTTCTTACATGACCATTTTACCCTTCTTTTTGTTTGAATTAAGGTTTAATACCGACATAAAAATTTATTATAAATTACTCAAATCTAAAAATTGAATGACATATTTTGACCTTCTTTTAGAGTTAGATGACATTTTTTAGACTTTTGACGAACTTCAGTAAGATTCATGTATACTGAACCTTGAAATAAATATGTGAAAACACAATCATCTCTCTCTTGAAATAAATTCATGTATACTGAACTTCAGTAAGGCTCAATCAGCAGCAAACAAAAAATTGATGAATGAATGAAATCATACAACCATTAATTTTGGTAACAATTTTGCTACCAAGTAATTATTCAAAGCTCAAGCACGCAATACGTCATTTTCGGATGGCCTTATCCCTTCTTTCCAATCCCATGAGACATGTTATATATTCCTCGTGCCTGCAAAAATATGCAAAAGATTTAAGCCATGTTTGGCAACCATAAACTAACTTATCCTTTGAGTTTATTGAAAAAATCCCGATTGGTTAGTCATAAGCTAGCTTTTCGGAAAGCTGCTTCTAGCAATGTTTCAAAAAGCTCCGGGGTTTTTTCCACTTCTTTTCCTTCCCAAGTATGCCACTTGTATTTTTCCAATTAATTTTTCAGTGTGTCCTTATAACTCATTTTACATTGTAATCTAGTTTATCAGTAGTTTTTATCAAACTTTGCCAAACATAGCCTTGTATGGAAGTGAATAGGAAGGTAGACTCACAATAAGAAAGAGGGAAGAACCAGCCAATGCCAGTGGAATGGCAACTGATGTGATCTTGTCCATAGGACCCTTCAGATGAGTGTGTCTATGGATGCTTTGGTACAATCTTTGCTTCTCAATCAGCTTCACTCTTGGCCTAAAAGGTGCCTCATCCACCATCCTGCATGAAATATCCACCAATTCTAAATTCCCATTTTTACTCATTACATGTCCTATGCTCAGTGAAGGATTCACTGGGTTCGCTTTAGTCATTCGTGTGCTTGCAAGTGTAGATACTTCATCGTGTTGAATACAAGAAAGTTTTAATGATTTCATCTCATAGGTTCTTCAAAACATAAAAAAGCCCCCGAACTTGAGCACCTCTGGGTGTAAGCTTCCTACAAAAAGGATTAATCCCATAGACCCACCAAAGAGTACAAAAGAAATCAAGTAACTAGCATAATATCCATTATTAACACATGGGTGTGATCCTAATGTTCAAAACTAGAGAGGCATTTTCTCTTATGACCGGGATTTAAATTGATTTTATGGAAAAAGAAAATATATGGTAAGAGTAGTGCGTTGGGATAGTTTACATTAGCTATAGTCACATTCATGTCTTAAAATCAAATAAATTAGCACCATATTGAAATTTTGAAATTAGGATTTCATAGGTTGACCTGACTTCCTAAAGTCTGAATGTACCATTATGTCGAATAGATGGAATATCTCAAGTTTAAACCTCATAACACCACAACAAAGAACTACTTATTTCTTAAACGACAATTTTTATTCATTAACTGCACCATCAAGATTGGAACTGAACATTAAACACTACCTTAACAAGACCAGAAAATATGGCTGACCAATCCAAAACAACGACGAATTATCAATACACACATGAACTGATCTCAACCAACACTTTGCATCATCGCTCAATACCCTAGCACATATTTATCATAGGTGGAAGATAAGATAAGAAATAACCAAGATCAATCTTGATATCCAGACATTATAAGTTCTTACACAGATAAGAAAGTATCAAGACTGAAAAAACCACAACGAAGAACTATAGTTTATTCTCAGCATATCATGGTCTACACTTGAAAGCAATCAAATGCCTTATGGTTCTAACTGCTATAGCTCAACACCACCAAAAAAAGGTAAAACTAGTGAAAACACAGACAAAACAAGCTATGTTTCTATCAACTCAACATATCACCATCTTATGATCACTTCGCAATATATAAAAAAGCATTGGCGGTGATAAAAAAAGTTAGAACTAGATCACGGGTTTCTAAGACATAAAAGTTGGTCCATCTTTGTCTATAAAAGCAAGCTGTCTTATATGGTTTTATTTTCATTCCACAAAAGAAAAAAAAACATGGTTTGATGGGTCAATTAACATAAGGACAAGATAGCAATCAACCTTTCCCTCATAAAGAGTGCAAGAAGGGGAGGAATGCGTTCCTAAATCCTAAAGCTGGTAAGATGACATGACTTTTGGCATCATTCTCAGTGCACTGCTATAGGAGGTGAAAAGTGAACAGCTTAAATATTGTTACCAAATACAAGTTTGTTTCTATTATCCAAATATTGTGATAAAGGGTCTTGACTCTTGAGTCCAACATCAAAGGGAAAAACCCATCATAGTATGACAAATTAATCTCATGCCTTTGACAACTTGCTAAAGGCTAAGAGTTACAATTATGGCATACACATGTTAAAATGAAAGAACAATTTAAATCTCGAGCTACTTGGTTCAATTTTAAGATGTTGTATGTGATATCCAAGCCAGCGAATGAGTGCGGTCTCTCCAAATTACGACTAGAACCCACTCTTCAAAGATTGCAAGGATTAGAGACAAGCAACTGTGATTGGTAACTTAATGCCATCATATTGATGTATTATTCTGCATAGATAATTGCGGTCTTCTTATAGAGCATTTTTTTGTCGTATGTGTGGGTGCCTACTACTCTACTAGGACTCTAACTATGGAATGGAGGGTATCAACATTATTGCACATTTGTTATTATGTTATATTTGAACCAGTAACCCCACATCCATGATCGGACGCATGGCAAATAAAACCAACTACTACAAACGCATGACACCGGTGTCCATATGATTGGATGATTTGGTGACCCATACTGGCCTTATCTCCCTGGAACATCCATTCACACAAAAAACCATTTTTATGCTCAAAGCCCGACCGTGAGCGTGAAGCACCCACTCCAACACATGACCCACCAGCACTATCATCAGAAAAATCCAAACACATACGAACATCGAGTCATTGTCAAAAATCGCAAATTCGTTCATTAAGACCATGTAATTCAACATGATCACCAATTTCAATTAGATTCCAGATTCCAACAAACACCATAGGTCAAAATTAACAGAACACAATCCAAAACGAGAAAATGAAATTTGTAAAACGCGAATAACAGGTTGAGATTCAATTTGGTTTATAACACAGATCGGGATATCGATCCAATTAATGGCTACTATAATCTCGGAAAATAGGTGAGTAATTTCACTAAGACGATGCAAGGACAACGTTATTAAAGAAACATTGAACCCTGGATATATAAATCAAACGAAAAACGAGTTAGGGTTTCTAATTAGAGGAATAGACTTACGTGATAAACTGAAATCCTTGCGCAGAATCAGAAATGGAGAAACGAAGAGCGGAAAACCACGGCAGAGACGACGATCAGAGAGGTATGTTATGATTACGAAAAGTTAAATAAAAAAATTGCAGAACATAAAAAGCGGAAATTTGAGTTTCTATGCTGGATCCCACAATTATTACAAATATGCTCAATCTTTAACATTTTTAAAAAATATATTTATATATCTTTAAAAAAAATAAGCAACTTAAACACATTATTATCGGAGTTTATGAACTTTGAGACCATACTTTTACGATCGTTACTCCGAGTTACAAGCGAAATTTAAGGTGTTACACTAACACTAACACTACACCACTGTGTATATTGTAACAATCACGAGACTAACTTTTCACTCGTAACTCGAATGAAAATGAATTTTTAAAGTCGTTTACATTTCAGATCTACATGTTAGCAAAATTTGGGATCGTATTAATTTGAAAGCCATGTTAGCGTTTACATTTTTTTTTTCTATACTTCCATACTTTTTGTCATAACGAAATAATTCCTCAAATGTTTTGCTAAAATCCCATTCACTCATTCAGCAATCAACATCAAATTTCCCTCGAAAATGTAACAAAGGTGGGCTTTTGGGCTTCAATATTGGGCCTATAAACATGATTTTTTTCTCTTTCGATGTGAATGTGAACGCTGCCTTTGTCATAAATAAAAATTTAGTGGTTAAATGTTGCCAAATTAGTATAGAAATCCTCGGTTGCTCTTTCAAACCTAATTTCATCCGTGGAATTTATAACAGATTTTATAAAAAAAAGGTTTTTTGTTTAATGTTTTAATAAAAAATAAATTAAACTACAACAACTATTTTACTTGGGAGATTATTATATTGATTATTTATATATGTATTATATTATAAAGCATGCATTTAATAAAAACTCTTAAAACCATTTTTTATGCATAAAATACTGTTTATTAATGCATACTATTTAAAATTCAAGATTTCAAGTAAAATGTGAGTAATTACAACCTATTAAAACTTTATTTTTAAATTCGTATAACTAATTGTGGATAAACACAATCAAGTACATGATACATATTTTAATTATAAAAATATAATTACGATAATTATTGAGTTATAAAAGGATACTTAATTATTATTTTTATAAAATTTATGTTGTTAAATCAAAAGTAAATATTTTGTTATTAAACCTAAATTAAATTATAATAAAAAATTAAATTAAATAAATTACAAAAAAACGAGAACTTTTAAACAGGTTATTTGATGCTAATATTGATATATATATTTTCAAATTCATATTTTGTTCAAAAATAAAAATATTATCGGTTTCTAAAAACTACATAAAAACGTATTATATCGACAGAAACAAAGAATAAAACAAAACATTAAAATCAACATATGTATCCCGCAACATTAATTGTACGGGTATCTCTCTAATGTTATTAAATTATTTGATGAGTTTAATAACAAATAACCCTTTTAATTATTGTATTTGTATGAATGTGATGTGAGGATATATAGGGGTGAAAGAGTAATAATAATTTTGAAGACATTTAACAAATTGCATATTGGTTGCTACTTTAATTGTCTTAGCCCCTAAGGCTCTCATATTCGTTGGTTTAAATTTAGTTGTGCAGGTGAGCCCTTCTTATGCACTCTTTAACCAAACCTTCTCCTACGACATTTCAACCATATATTAGTATTACCCTCATTTTCTACACAATTTCCAAACTTCAAGCATCATTGAAATTCAAGATATATGCTTTAATATCGTATATAAATTATCGTGAACGTTTAGGGTTTAGGGTATGTTCATTTTCTTTCATAAAAACTATCAAATTATATATACCGTTAAAACTGATAATCACAAAACAAAATAAATAGAAATGGAATTCTAAGTTCCAAAAATCATGAGCACCAATTAGGGTTTTCTTTAATTATGACTCAGAAAAGCCTAAACAAGATTCTTGAAGAAGAAGTGTCACATAAAGTATACCAATATATGGCATGGCTTCTTCCACCTTACCATCTTTTTCACTCCAAAGTTTAAAGACTCCTATCCAATGGGAGGAAGTTAGGAAGGTGTTTTATGAAGTGGGTGTACGTTCACTATTTCTCATTATAACAATGGCCAAGGGCATTTTAGACTTTTCCCAATTCAACCTAAGATTTATTGACAATAAAGCCAGCAGTTTCAATCCCCATTTTAAAGCCAACTAACTACCTAGATTGAGCATCTTTAACAGAAAGCTATTAAAGAGGCAACAGGAGTATTCTTCTCTTGGCAAGAATGGCATTACAACAACAACAACAATCGCAAGTGATGACACGAATCAAGAACTCGGGGTTAATCAGTTACAATGGGAGTCCGATGAACGGTGATGATGAAGAGGAGTTGTCGAGATCGGCCTTGTTGGCTTTTAGGGTTAAGGAAGAAGAGATCAAGAAGAAGAAGATGGAGGTGAGGGAGAAAGTTCATGCTCAGTTAGATCGTGTTGGAGAAGAAACCAAGAAGTTGGCTGAAATTCGCCAAGTACGTTCTTCTTTTGTGTTCAATTATCCTTTTTAGATAACATGATATATACATTAGATTATTCATCATCCATACATGCATGTTCTTGATGATACATATACATATATATATATATATTCACATATAATGAATAGGAGCTTGAAGCACTGGAAGATCCAAGGAGGAAGGAGGTGACAACTGTTCGTAAGAAGATTGATTTGGTCAACAAAGAGCTAAAGCCACTGGGACAAAGCTGCCATAAGAAGGTGAGACATGCATCATCATTGCTAATTTCATAACCCTTTAATTGATTACACTTTTCTTTATCTAATTGAATAAATCACCTTTAATCATTATTATTTTAAAACCATATATTTCTGCTTCAATTTATATTTATTATATAATTTAACTCACCAGGAGAAAGAGTACAGAGAAGCCTTGGAAGCTTTCAATGAGAAAAACAAAGAGAAATCTCAACTGTTAGCAAGATTAATGGAGGTGATGCATTGGACTACATCATATCTTATAATCAAATTAAACCGATTTAATTATGTTTTCGATCGATACTAATTATCTTGGTAATCTGATTGTGCAGCTGGTAACCGAAAGTGAAAGAGTGAGGATGAAGAAACTTGAAGAACTGAACAACAACATCGAATCCTTGGGCCAATTTACTCCAAGATCATCGTAAATGATAACAATTGCTCCAATTATGTGGTTTTCTGTAACTAGTGAGGATTACAATAACTACTGATTTGATGTGATGCTCTTTTTTATGAGCGTTGTTTGTTGATGAGTGTATGACATTAAACCCTATTATTATAATTGTTGCTAAAACAAGTTTGCATGCATTTAAATTTTGTGTCTATAATTGAAAGTGATCAGTTTTCGTTTTTGATCTTGCATTCGATTTTGTGTCCACAGTTAATTTGAAATATATGTGTGTGACATTCATTTTCCATGACAACATAATTTAAATAATGTAACATAAACTTTATTAATAAAGTAATTATTAGAAAAAAAAAAATTAATGACCCAAAGACCGAAATACATATATTAGTTTAATAATTAATTCAGTTTTAAAATCATTAGTACCCTAAGAACTCGCAAACCGTATCTTACATTGTTTGAGATGAGTTGTCATAACCCTGTTCTACTTAAATAAGCTTACAAGCTCACAAATTTAACTAAGACAAGTAAGCATAAACGTACATAATTCATACCGAATACAAGACATGTTAGTTAGTAAATGGATGGGGTAACTTTACCCAAATGCAAAACCAGTCTTGGATTCGATCTCACCTCCTTCCCACTAGTCTTAACCGTTGAATGAGCCAAAAATGTCCCTCCTATCGATATTCTTGAAGACAGGTTTCGTATAGAATACGTGTGTTACAGTTACTCGTAATCAACATCTTCCGTTTTACTTACGCGTGTCAAGAAAAGGTTTTGAAAAGTGGTTCTTTATTCCCCAATTTTTGTCATAAAGAGTATTGGAAAGATGGAGACAAAAGTGAGACTCTTTTTTGTGTTCCTTTCTCCACCCTTTTCTTTTCATATAAAGATTACCCAAGATGCATGGGTGATATATATGTAAAAATGACAAGCTTTACGTAAATCTAACATTCTTTCTATTTTATAACATATTTTGATAAATATCTACCAATTTGTTCATTGATGTAAACATTTATATAAAATACGTTGCTTTTATTAATTGTAAATCCCTTTTTTAGACTAGGGTTGTAAACCTTATTCTTTAGATCCGTTGTCTCAAGAACCCACTCTATTTCCGTCGCTTCGGCAACACTTCCCTCACTCTCGCACCGTTCCGATTCATCTTCCTTCACGAATCATCATAGCTGAACATCAATACAAAATCTTGGCTTCTATTTTTATTGTGCACAAGTTTTTATCCCTTCTGTTTCTCTCTTTTTTCTCCCATTGTGCATGCATAAGGTTATGTTACTTATTCTACGGTTAATTATAAAGTTTAAGTTCTGTCCTAGTAAGTGGATAGGGCTCAACTCACAGGTTTTTTTGTTGTTACTTCTCTGATCTCCCTGATAATATGGTGTTTTAGTGGTTGTCGGTTTGCAACAAGAACATAATGATGTTCGAGGATAATGGTTACTTGGATTTACCAATTAGTAATTAAAACCTATATCTCACATACTCATGAATTATTTGGGTTATCACATCCCATACCCCAAAAATAAATATAAATCAAAACAAACTAAAGTGTTTGTGATTGCTTATTTGAAACAACTTATGTTTTTCTACAAAAGCACTTATCAACTTATTATAAGTCAGAAAGATTTAACTTCTTTAAAAACTTCTTATTACCGGTTTATTAGTTGTTTATATCCAAACATTCAAAAATACTTAGTGAAATAAAAACGTTGAAATATTCTCTTTCGTCTCTAATTAAAATGAGTTATTGCTTTTTCCATGAAGAGATTTTTCTTCTCTTGATATATCTTTTATTTTCTTTACCATCAAATATACTATTATGCTAAATATTGTTTTTTATTTAATTTAAAAGAGGGACTTGAACTTTAATAAGTAAAGATGTCATCTCTCAGGTTTGGATTTTGCTTTAAAAATGGGATCTCGTCACTAACGTCATTAAAACTCTCTGTTAGAGTCAGGGATAAAATCGTCCAATCATGTTTTCATGTCTTTTTATAATTTTTTTACTGTTTTTCCATGAAAATATAGGGGCCAACTTTATGCAATTCACTATGATATATATATATATATATATATATATATATATATGTATGGAACACAGGGAGCATCCTCCCAAACCCCTTCAGCCTCCATCTCTGATCCAACTTCATCTCATCGTAGGGTTTGGTTGTACTGGTAATAAAAGCTTTGGTCGGCGATGGGAATGGAATTCTCAAGCAACTGTTGATAATCTTGGTGGGTTTTGGAATTTTCAAGACTTTATATCTGGGTGTGAAGGAATGATCAAATTAAGATGGTGGCCATTTAGTCTTTATCAAGCAAATAGATTTGCTTCCTTCTTGCTCCAGTTGGCTTAGAAATGCCAGATAACTCCACTGCTGGCCATTTTAGGCTGCATCAAACATATCGGATCCTCCATTTTTCTCAAACAAATGACTATTGTTTAGGATTTTTTTATTTGCGTTTTTTTATTTGGATGTGGATTCATCAATTAAGCTTGGATTATTGATCGAGTGTTGAATTTGATTTTAAGGTTTAGGTTTGAATTTGGGTTTGATTTTAGCTTTGATTTTGGGGTTTATATTTGGATCTGGTTTTGAACTTAATTGATGTTGGTGTTTGGATTAGGGTTTGGCCAGATGGTAGCTAGCTGGAGAGGATGGCTGACTATTCTCCAACGGGAAAGGGATGTCAAATTTGTAGAGTTGGTCTCTATAGTTTGATGGGTTTTATAAATATAAAAAACAACAACAAAAAAAATGTAAAAAGAGGAGGAAGCATAGTTGGACGTTTTACCTTAGACTTTAACCGACATTTATAACGGCGGCGTCAGTAATAAGGTTTTAATTTTAAAGTAAAATCCAAAACTGAGATAGCGTATGGTACGCAGACATAATTAGACAGGACTGAATAGGACAAAACTGGGCAGAACAAAACAGATTAGGACAAGAGGGTAGGACTGGACATGACTGGACATAACAAGAGTATGTCTGGTGTTTGGTACGACTAGGACTGGACGTGACAGAACTAAAGAAACTACCCCAAAAGTTATTTGATGATTTTGAATATTATATAATAGTTATAATTAACACAAATGAAGTAAATAATTAAAGAATTTAATTTATAAATATTTGTACATAATTTTCATATTTGTACCAAATTTGAATGAAAAAATTGATATAATTGATGGTAGTAGTGTGTTGGTGGAGGTGGTTTTAGTTATGGTGGAGGTGGTGGTGGCTGACGGTATTAGTGGCAACGGGCGATGGTGGTCGGTGGCCAACAGTGGTTATGGAGGTAGAGGCAGTGATGCTTGGTGGACGACGGTGGTTTATAGAGGACATGAAGATGGTAGATTCTGGTGGTGGCGATTGACAACGGTGGAGGAGTTAGTTGTGGTTAATGTAGTGAAGATAGTAGTGGTGGTGGTTATGGTGGGGTGAGGTGGCAATGAATGGTGGTGGCCGATGAAGGTCGTGGAGGAGGTTGTTTGCAGTAGAGGATGAGTTGATGGTGGCGAATGGCGGTAGTGGTGGTGGCAATGAATTGTGGTGGTCAGTGGTTGACTATGGTAAAGGTGGCAATGGACTTGGTGGACGATGGTTGTGGAGGCGGTGGATGATGTTGTTGTAGTGGAAGAGGAGGTGGAGGTGGAGGTGGCCGCCGGTGATCGCCGGTAGTGGTGGCGGCGGCCGAAACTAGCGGTGATGACCATTAAAACAAATATCATATTAAGATTATATATCAAACTAGGGTAGATTAGTAATATTTTAGTTTTTGTCTCATTCTTGTCCCATCTTGTTCCACCTATTTTGGTCCAATTTCACAGCTTCATACTTAGGTTTTGCAATCAAACAAGAATTAGAAACATAAAAATAAAATAAGTGAAATAAATAACCCTAACCTCACAAGTCACAAGATGCGAGAGCGAGAGGCCGAGAGCCGGTYGATTGTCGAGACTCGAGAGAGGCAGAGAGCGAGAGCCGGTCGATTGTCGAGACTCGAGAGAGGCAGAGAGCAAGAGCCGATTGAGTCAAGGCCGATTGCGATTTCGATTCGTGAATCGTGAATTGGTTTATGTTCGTGAGTTCGTTCGTCAGTGAGACGAGAGGCGAGAGTCGAGAGGCGAGAGGCGAGCGAGGACGAATTGAGTGGAGGCTTGAGATTGAGATTGAGATTGACGAATTGAGTGAAGACTGATAACATTATATTTAGGCCCAAATAAAAATAGAACCTATACATGTATATTGTTGGGCTTAAAAAATTGATGTTCTTGGGCTTTATGTTGAGACAAGAAAAAAGTATTATATTTATTATTTAATTTTAATTTATTTTTAATATAAATCTTTTAAATCATATATTTTTTATTTAATTTTAATTTATTTTTTAATATAAATCTTTTAGATGCATTTTTAAAGGTAGCTAAACACTTTTATTTAATTTTAATAATCTTAATTTTTTTATTAATCTTTAGAGAAGCTTAAAAAAATGTTCCTAAAAATTGATGTAACTTTTTAGAGACATTTTTTACATCGTATAATTAGCATATAAATCCTTCTTTAAATGTCGTCAAACCTTTAGTTACATTTCTCATTTTTGTCATTTAAAACCTTCTCTATAATGGAGCTTTAGATACACTTATAAAAGCTTCTCTGCAAATTTCATTCTCTAAAGCTCTTTTTTCTTGTAGTGTGTAGATTAAGGATGTGTTATGGAGATAATGACATATACATAGAATTAAAAAATGAATAATTTAGTGAATGACCATTTCAATTAATTTTCCTAATTCTTTTGATCCATTTTCACTCGAAAATTTGATGAACTAAGAGATCGTTTACCAAACGCTTACCCAGGTAAACGCTGACTATTTAACATTACCTCATCGGATGAATATTGTAAGAACCAAGAATCTTACCCGATAATAGCGAGACAAGGAACAAGAGTTTTACCCGGTAAGTAAGGGTGACAACTCTTACTCTGGTAAATGCTTACCAAGTATTTCGTTGCATACAGTGTCGTTTTGATGAACTAAAATCTTATCCAGTAAGTAAATAATAGTGTTAAATTTTACCGACAAATATTTACAGGATAAATGTTTGATAAACGACCCCTAAATCTTCTTTTAA